ATTGCTAGTTTGATATATTTGCATCAGTGGTACTTCAAAACCATTCAGTGGTCGTCAAACTTGCCAGTGTACTTAAAACTCAGCTTTGTTTAAAATTTGTTATTATGATAATCTAAACATTAAGGAAGATACGGTGAGTGTTTTAGGGAGTAGTTGCAATTACTGCTTCAACCAAACTAAAGTAATTCAAAGTTGACCTTTAAGTTCCTGTTATTTAATCAGTTAAATACAGCCTTCAAAAGCCAAGAATAATTGACCTAGTGAAACGCTTAGTTGAGGCTTTCAACAAAAAACGAAACACTATACGTAAAAGACAATATGAGATTTGCCACGGTTATTAGGTTATTAACAATGTAAAAAGCGTACATTTACTGCCCCATAGGATTTAACTTAAGACAATAAGTTAATTAGAGAATTGTTAAATTACGCAATAATTGTTCCGCGTTGGTGGTGCTTTATGACATCTTACTTTGTCAATAGTCAATATACAGATTAATAGGGCGTGTATGCTTTAAGTTCAATTTGCTATCAGTTGTGACGATATTATTGTCGCTGAGTGTTGTTAATCGTCGCATGTGTCTTTAATATTTAATAAGGCACATTTGAATTTGTCAAGAGTTTCATATATTACGTATATGTAAATGTTCTTCACATCACTGCAATTTTCAAAACAATTCCTAAGCTTTACTAAAGAACAACAAAAGCAATAGCAAATGAACTATAGTAAGTATTTCTTAATTCACAGACTAAGTATACATAAATTATGACCAAAATAGAAAAGGCAGGAATATTTATAAAACAAAACATTTTCTGTAAATAAAAGGGTGCTTTTACTGTAAAGCGGCCGGAAATAAAGGTTAATTATACTTAATTAAAAAACCGCCATTAACAAAAAAAGAATTTGATATTTCAACTGAATAAAATCATGACTGCTTTTTTGAACAATCACAATATTTGAAATTAGGTCACCTCTTTAAGAGTTTATATTTTAATGGTAAAATGTCGCGGACTAAAATTAATTCGTTTGCATTTTGTCAATAAGTCACTCAAGTTGCCGTTATTACAGTTCTCACCATATTTTTCAGAAGCAAATTGTTACGACACAAATGTGTGTTCTGTATTGTTCAAGCACATCTGCGGATAATTTATTGATAGATAATCCAATTGCACCACTTTTGTGACTTTTGGTGCAAGAAAACGATATTTTTATCACACCGATTATACACACTACTTCTTTAATAAATTGTTGGAGTCATGTGACTGATGAGATATATTACTTTCTATCATACATCTCCGATGAAACCGATTTTGACAATTAATAAAGATAGTTTTTACTCGAATCTCAATGGGATATATAGCTTAACCACTCAAAACAAACACATATTCTTATTCTTACAAATAAATGTTTCAACATACATATTGTTATTATAAAAACGTTGTGATATATTATTTATAAAATATTAATTACGTATATCGACAATTATTAGTGCTATTGAAACTGATCAGCATCTGCATTTAATATACGTACCTCAAAAGGCCTTATTGATAGATCCCTACTCTGACCTTTTACATGTATTTGAATAACAAAAGGTTTATTTAACCACAAACATTGACATGTGCTCTTTTGAACAAATACGTTGTTGTTGAATTAATTAATTAATTAATTCATTCATTCATTCATTCGTTTGCACTTTTGTTAATAATTGTATTTGAAGACTCCAAAATAATAAAACCAAGTGCAATAATTACAGATGAAGCCTTTTTCCAAACGCATGTATACAAATTGTAATATTATATCACAAACGTTTTCATGTATATTTTAGTTTGTAGATATTGTAAATTTGTTTGCCAAGTAAGCAGTCAAAAATACGTTCCTTTTCATATCAACATAATTTTTGACATACATCTTTTACAGACTCAATGTCATTTTCTGTAAACAAAATTAAATTGAGTATTCTAAGAACACAAAAACGTATATTTTACTTCTTGATTTACATATTTTAATTCCATTCAAATATGAAGGTTATTTCGCCCGTCTGTGTACATTTTCATGGCTTTGTGATTATATCTTGCATATTTCCCACTGATAATTCTGTTTAACTGTAGAACATAGCTAATTAAATAGTCGCGTTTTTGCTATATTGGAACAAAATCGCCATTTTCCCATGCATTATATTAAATTCTATCGGGTGTTGATACACGCAATTGGCAAATTCAAGTAGTCCGTTTGTTAACATATTACATTCATTAACAGCTTTTTTTCATTTCAAAGCTACACGGAATCTACTTCCTTGAAAAACTCCACGCGAAATTATATTTTTGCATGTTCAGACACCGATCCGGATATTTGTTTCTGCGTTCAGTAGGTCATTCCTAAATTGTTACACATTTAACTACTTTATTGCAGAGGAAATGACCACATGTTTGTGACGTCAAACTGCATTTCCCATCTGAATTGTTAACATTTTTCTTGTGCTCTTATTGCTTTACTTTTCCAAACACGAAACTTCTGAAAGTTTGATATTTAGATTAATTATAACATCTCTGTTATGATTATCACTTGGTCTAGATTTTTTGTTCAATGTCCAAATAACAAAATAACGTGCAGAGGAATTTTTTAATATGAAGTCAATTGCTAACAAGTGATTAAAAAGCTGGAGAATTAAATTTAAAAAAGAAGAAAAACAAACAAACTATTGTACCAAAAACAACGTATTATAATAAATTTGTATTGTCCCTTGCAAGTTCAGCTTTATTTCTATATTAATTTTTCAATACCAATACGCTTTAGTTTGATCTATCTATGTACGGTGAGAGCAAATTAAACGTGTTTGCTCCTTTGAGGTCAAAATGGCTAAAATATAAAATGGAATTCTTACATAGATCAAGTGACACACTTAAAATGGATAAGTTACGAAAATGAGCTCAGAATTATATTAATTTTTTAAATGTGTTTCTTAGCCAATTCGAGCATAAACCGTTGGAAAGCTTTTCATAATTCATGTTATTTGGTCATTTTGTACAATACCAAATATGTTTCGTGCACACAAGTTATTGGTCAAGACTTACATGTAATTGAACATTAATCTTGGAAATATAACACCAGTCTCGTCATGCTCAGTGGAACATTTAGGCGTCGCATTTTTTGTTATAAATGGTGTTCATTAAGAATGTTTAACTAAGAGTCAATGTTATCATTCTATGCCAATTTTTCATCATACATCAAAGTAAAATTACTATCCACAGCTCGTGCATTTAAACAATAACAGTTTCAATTTCATCGTTTTACGTTCTTGACCATAATATATCGTACTGTATGATGATTATTGGCACAATATTCCAATAAGAAAAATTATGCAATATTTGAATTCAGTTTTGTGCATGTTGACAATCATCAACAGCATATAATTGTCACATATAACTTGAGAAAAAATGGCAATTCTATATTTTGTATATTAAAATTTTAGCACTAAACTTAATAATTAGTGAATGTGTGTTTTATTTTGTAGTTTAATTTTCAGACCTTAAACGTAGTGAAACACACATCTAGAAACGTTGATATACGTGAAAATTGATTGTGAGCTAAAAAGATAGGGAACTTAAGTCCAAAACTTCAGGAACTATAGATGATGATATTTAGTTCACTGTAAATGTGATCAACTACTTACTGCCACTGGTACCGAAGGATTGTTATTGCTAAGGAATAGGAAGCTGTTGTACTCACTCAGACGCCGTCGTAACACTTTGTATTATTTTTTGTGGTGCATATTGGTTTCTCTAAAACTACAACAGGAATGCTTGTAGCTGATAACTTAGCATTATGAAACAAATAGGTACACGTTGTTATACAAAATGGAGAAAATAAGAATCCCAACTCGGAAAATTGAAAATGTTTCAGGCTCATTTTGTTTGAGCCTGTTCATGGATTGTAGAATTCAACATTGAACATGGCCTGGTACAATTTTGAATTTCGAAACATCCGCATGTGGCGGTTATTATGGAACCTTCAATGTGACACGTAAGTACCATTAAATGAAAAGCGGCATATGGTCCCCAAGAAAAAAATGCATGTGACCTAAACACGGAACTTAATTAAATGGAATTTTGTATTTCTCTTTAAAAGATAGACTAAGTGTCACATTGAAGGTTCCATGATAACCGCCGTATGAACACATCTGCGGATGTTTCTAAATTCAAAATTTTACCATTTCATGTTTAAATGTTGAATTCTGCTTAAGCCGGTGCTAGGGGGCGTGGACGGTAACTTGCACTTTCTAGTACCGTCCATGAACAGGCTCAATCAAACCGAGCCTGCAACATTTTCAATTTTGCCGTGTTGGGCTTTCTTTAGGGATTCTGTTTTTATCTATTTTGTCAATGTCTGGGCTCTTCATCAAGATGATCGGTGGGGGCTTCTAAAACAAAAGAATGAATGAATGAATGAAACACAAACCCACGGACGAATTAATTAATAACTAAATAAGCAAAGTAACAAACTAAATAATGAAGATTCATTGAATACCTAATTTATTAATAAGAATAAATGAGAGAATTGAGGACATATTAAACAATGTGAATTTTTTGTTTTTTATTTTCTTTCTTTTTTTCTTTTTTTATATCTAATTTATTTTTGTTTATTTATTTATTTTTTTTTTTTTATTTTTTTTTTTTTGGGGGGGGGGGGGGTCATGTTCTTTTTTGCTACCATGTATGCTACCAATTTAAGTTTGATAATCATATATATGTTTACCATGTTTTCCTGTAACTGTTATATACTAGCTTAACTTGCTTTGAGAAAATGTTTCATAGATTTATTATTTTGCGGAGAACATTTTCTTAGAAAATTACCACACAGCTGTGGTTTTGATTGGTTAAACCGATAGAACGTAATACGCACTCACCTTTGCTGTTTCTAACTGTCCAATAATTCTGTTGAGCGATATGAAGTGATATTAGTAATCTTTTCTCTTGTCTATTACTGAAAAGGTAACCACTGAAAGATGCGAATCAACACAAAGTGCCTATGGACATTTACAATTTCAATACTTGTTTCCATTTTATCGGACTATTTTGGTCAATGCAAATCAACTTTAATTGACGAGGATAAGACCTTAATCGCAGAAAATGCTGCGTTTTTAAATGATTTACTTGAAGACCAACTAAATAGTGATGATTCGCCAAAGTTAACAGGAGATGAAACGCATGGAATTGCAAGCAATTTTTCAGAGTGGGATAATACTAATTATGGTAAAGTTTCTGGAAATTCTCGGATATCAACTGTCCATTCTGGCCCTGACAAACGTGAATGGTCAAAATTTGTAACATGGGGTAAACGACAAATACCGCTTGAGTCTTATACAGGAAGGATAGATGAGGATTTTGCAAATAAAAACGATTTAGGGTTTGATTGGCTTAAACATATTAAAGATGAACGGACATTTCAAGATGTTATCAGATGGAAGAAAAGAGCCCATGCCAAAAGGTTAGATGAGGATTCTAACTTAGATTTGTCAGTGTATATTTCTCGGAGAAATCGTAACGGTGAGACAAATCAGCTAAACGACGTAGGTAATCGAAAGTGGCAACGATTCACATCTCGGACAAAAAGAAACAATGGACCGCTTCTTAGTGACAAAAGAAAATGGGCGAAAATTATTTCACGGCACAAAACAAACTATGATCCAATTTTGATGAAACTTAAAAAACGAAAATGGGCAACATTTACTTCTTGGGGAAAAAGGTCCGAAATTATCAATGAATTGGAAGGTGAGAAGACAAAATTGGCAAAGGAGCTAAGCACTGTTGATAAAAGAAAATGGGCCAAGTTTGCTTCATGGGGAAAGAGACCAACGAACCCGAAGGATTGGTTAGCGTGGAATTCAGGGGGAAAGAGAAAATGGACCGGGCTCACAACGTGGGGAAAACGGTCCGGTGATGTTTTCAATACAGAACCTTTGACACGTGACTTGCTATACTTTTTTGATAATAATGGTTCAAATTGAATTTAAATATTTGTAATATTGTTAAGTCAACAGTGTTTATTTTTCTCATATCGAAACATTTTGTAAAATAAACAATAAATGAAAATATTAATAAAACATTTCTTTTGCATTCAAAAAAGATAAACAAAATGTAGAAATTCATCGTGACTCTAATAAATTAAACAATTTTACCAGACCTCGAGGACTAATTTCTATTTCACTAAACGTTTTTTGCACTCTTTTATATTCACAAAGTTGATTGAGCGAAATCATAAATTTCAGATATAGTTCAGTTATCTAGAAATATGACTGTTCTGGAAATGTCAATTAGTGTAAAGTTTTTATTTCCTGATATTTTGAAAGGCTTAACCGTTTTCCTGGATGATACAGATATTGCAATGGAGAAATTGTTTACAGACGTCACCATAACCACACATTTAAAAGACGAGGAAGTATAACCTGAACAGGAAAACACTCATCTTTCATGGATGAAATTTGATTAAACTTTCATTTTCTTGTCTAATACTACCTTAAGATCAATAGAAACAATTGAGAAAAGTTTAGAATTAGTTTCCCATGTGTGTTATTGTCTTTTATGCATGTCTTACAGTTTCTAGAAAATAAAAGGACAATATGATCGACAAATAAGAAATGCACGTTTGAAGATTTTTGAAACCAGCTTATAAGCATATTAATCTTGTAAGATTAATTATCACATATCTTATACTCTCTAATTCTCCTTTATGTTATAAATTGGCTGTCCCGACTTTCTAAATAGAGATTTGTTATCCAATGATGCTGGTTCGATCCTTTAAAAAGAAAAGCAGAAGAGATCCTTAACCTACAACGTTGGCATAAATAATATACATTTAAATACACGTCTTATTTTATTTTGTGGACTAAGAAAGACACTTAGAAAAGTACAAATCCCAAACATCGAGTATTATAAGCTGTTGTTTTGTTTTAGCAAACATGGACGGTTTTGTAAACTAAAAATTTATTGTTTTCTTTCCTCAAATTTATATGCTTTTTCAACGTTTTAAATATGTTTAAATGGTATACATGAACAAAAAAAATCTTATTTAGATAAATGTCACTGATGTAAGACGTCGTGTAACGTTACCTTTTTGCGTGGTATTAAACATATCATATTATGTTATAAATCTTCAATAAATTCTTCCTGTCTTATGCAGTAACTCTAGCTAGACAAATATATATAAGATTAGAATCTTTTCAGAAGGAAAAAAGCAAATGCTTGTTTATAATAACATAATAATGTGAAAACCATACAATGTTCTAGAAGTTATTTACCGTGCTACTGGAGAGATTTAGCAATTTCTTTTATTTCTCATAAATCAGAGGTGGTAGTTTTCAGCCATATTTGTCTTTGCTTTTATTGCTTATATTGCTTTAATTAATGGATCTATGTTTTTTAAAGATTTTTTGAAAGAAAACTCTGTTATAACTTCTTTGGAGTAAAACTTAAAACGTGAGAAAGAATAAAAATTTTCAAAATATTGTTTGTCAACAAAAGTTATTCTCTTATTACGAATGACTGATACGTTTAATATATGAATAATCTGATCTTTAATCATAAATAAACATTTTCCCCCAATAAATGCATGCCTTTTAAAACTTACTAAATATCTTTACTGTCCACAAATAAGAATTCGTTAATATCAACATGAGTCTAGAGCACTATAGTTCTCCTAGTAATTCTTTATACACCAGGATAAAATTAAATAACAAACTTTTTCGTTTTTTCCCCGTTTTTTTTTTTGACATTTCATTTCTTGATTGGCAGTCAATGGAATGTTGTGATTGCATGTAATCTGAGTACTGTTGCAGATCAAATATCATTCTATTTTGTCATTTTAAGACGAAGTTTGTTATTTTAATATTAGCAAAGCGATTAAACTATTTCCCTCGACAGTTCAAAAGTTTAATTCAAGCACATATTAAAACATTTCTTGAAAGATAACAAACCGCACTTTTATCGTTAGTAGATTGCTTTGAACAATATTTAGTTCTACGTGTCTGTGTCGCTAAGGGCAATAACTCTTATTGTAAGTGTTTACAAATTACGGTCCTTATTTGTATTCATTTAATATCACCCACAACATTTTCAGTATTGGGTTACATTTTCATATCGTTGATTTCATCTTATATTATGGAATGTAGGCCCAAAAAGGCAATATAAAATGTTTTTTCAACACTTTATTAGCTATTTAAGATCTTGCCAAAAGGATACTTAATGAACTTGTTGACTTATTATAATTATATCTTTTTGTCAAATGTAATTTTTACATAAAGATTATTGAAAGCAAGTATGTTCAGACAGATAAGGTTATGATGAAATTGAACTAATGTCTATTTACCGCTGTCAAGAGAGTATTCAAAAGGCTTGGAACCTTTTTTTAACTTTACAGATGAAATAGATATGTTAATCATAATCAAGCCGAACTTGATATATTTATCACAATTGTACGAAAGACCGGTGGGGACATTTTAACTTCATGAATTCACGATTATATCTTCATGAATTATATTGAAGTTGTAATTGTAAATTCGCAAAGTTGAAAATATGAAATCGTTAATTAACGGCGATAAAATTGTGAATTTACGAAGATGAAATTGTGAATTCACGAAGATGAAATCAGGAATTCATAAAGTTTAAATGTTCCGATCGGTTTTTTTGTACAATGGAGCGAAACAAAATGCTTTTATGACAATAGAAATGAAATTAATAAGTTACTGGCAATCGAGCTATTAGGTAAATTTACATAAACTATTGCAAAGTTATTTCTTTTTGTCTAGACGAATCGGTCTGCTCTAAATTTGAACTTTGTTAATAAAGTGTTTCAGAAATTAAAAATTGTGGTTTTAGTCGGAAATTAAAAGTGTGGTTTAATTCTCACATCTGTTGCCGGCATTTTCTAAAAAATAATTCCGTAAATCTTTTATACAAAGCATATGATAATAGTCGGAACAATACTGAATATTTCATTTGTCTTTAGCTGTTGAGGTTACCGTCTATGTAGTTTATTATATTGTAGTATGCAATAATGAAAAATGATTAGATATTCATTATTTAAGCAGACACATTTTATAACGAAATTTTCTCGATTAAGTGCTGAATTAAATAGTTAATTTCACACAATTAATTCGAGTTGTATTAGACATAATCATGTCATCCGATAACGCAGCTTGTTTACGCAACACTAAGGTAACCGTTGTTAAAGTAGTAAAAAAATCGATATGTTCTTATTATGATCCTTTAATTGCAGATACAAATATTGAATAATTCGGCTATATCTTTGGCTGACTTATAATATGGTTTATTCTTTATTGACCTTATTGACAAAAAGGTGGAAAAAACTTCAGCAATACACGGAATTAAATGAGTTGTTCTATAATGGAAGGTCCGCGGAAACAAAACATACAATATATAACTATGTTGATAGTAATTAGTATCATAAATAATAAAAAAAAAAAAAAAAAAAAAAAAAACAACAACAACTAAGAAACAATTATAAATGGATGCTTTTGCAAAGTATGATATAAATGATCCGATATTAAATTTATTTATACAGCAGATAAAAATTGGTTAAGAAAGAAAGATTATTTGTCATCATATAAGTGGTCAAATTTAATCACTTGGAACTTTACTAAAATCTATCTTTTTAAGGAATGCCTTATAAGAATAACAAAAGAATACATTCTATTGTTTTTTATTTCAATATTTGAAATACTTGTGGAAAATGTGCCCATTGAAGAACCAATCCATTTAAAACATATGCAATTGAAACTGTATAATTATCTTAAATTAAAAAAAGGTACGGAAGCTTATCAGGGCCTACAGTTAAAGAGATGTTTTGCGCAAAGTCGACTTATTTTTATTCGCATTGATAAGATGTTTTTATGTCTCAATAAATTTACTGACAAAGATGAGAAGCTTTTAGGCATTGCAACTGATTGTTTCCTCGATATGCTTGAAGTTTTAGTCTCTTCGACAAAAATCCTGTTGAAACTTCGTGATTCCACGACTTTGCTGTCATGTTAAGTAAGACCCAAAAACGCTACTCGCATTGACAAATAGCTCACGTAATTCAACAAAAGTTTTTTGGCAATGAATAAAAACTTCTACGTATTACGTATCAATCATAACGTCTTCATGGAATGTTTAACGTATTACGTATTAATCATAACGTCTTCATGGAATGTTTTTGGTCAAAACGAGAGGAAACAAGTTGAAATGACGTGAAACTTTTAAATAAGTGGAGGCCTTATAAGCTTCCGTAAAAAGGTACAAACTTGTAAAATGTGATAATATTTCAGCTTTTTAAGGATTAAATCATCACACATGTAAATTATATTGATTATATTAAATGGTATGTTTGAAAAACATGGATGTAAAATTTGATTATACCTTGATACAATGAAGACGCACTTTGATAAATAAATATATGTAGCTATGAACCTATATATAAATTGATGTAGCTAGATGGACCTAAATCGAAAGCATATTTCGTTCGAATGCCCGGAAAAAGTATAATTGTAAAAAAAAAGAAAAAAAAAAGAGAGCAAAAACGGAGTGTCTAAAACACCAGAAAACAGCAAAATAAAGAAAATGTAGCAGGCTCAGTTTATTTGGGCTTTGTTGTGTAGACAGTAGCCCCTCCCACTCCCCCGATAATAAATAAATGAATAAATAAATAAATGATCTACTATGTCCAACGCATTTTTGCAAAGATATTTTGAAACCCATCACAGAATAACAAAGTTCTTGTCGGACACGACCATCAGTGCACTTTTATTAAACATTCATACATCTAAAATATTGTCCTATATTCAAATATATAGAGTTTATAAACAAATTGTGAATGCTTAGCATCTGTTCTGTCTAATATTTATAACCTTAGTGTCAAAGATTTAGTAAAAAAAAGAATTACAAAACAACACTAGAAGAAAAAGGAAAAATGGTGATCTACTTAATAAAACAATGACATTAAAGATAACGC